AGTGGCTTTTTTCCACTGAGCATCAGCGATAGTCCAGATATGCTCAGAATCTGCTGTTTTTTTTTTTTCAGCATCTTCGCTTGTCGACCAGCACCCAGTGTTCGTGCCTTCCGATTTCGACCATGAACAACCTCAACACGCCAATGAACCGTTGCTTTCATCATCAGTCAGCCAACTAAACAAAGTGCAGCGATGTCTGACCGTTGATTCACTGTACGGTACAACTGCAAGAACCACAGAGCAAGGTAGCCAACGAGCATCCAGCACGCGCAGAGGTCACTGTTATCAGGGTGAATCATTTGTGCTCAACTGTCGAAATTATCTGATCTAAAAAAGCAAAGTTGCGTAACACATATTGGACCCAAAACCCATCAACATAATCAGAAATTTGTGGGGATTTTTTTTGATGCGCAAACTTGTGGAAACAGCGCAACTGCGACTGCTTTTATGCATCGCCCCGAGTGGAGTCCATACGTGGTGCTCAAAGGCTATCAACAAAGCTAACAGTGTGCCCTGTCCATCGAATTTTACTTTCTAGCCTGGCCATAACAATACCCTGTATGCCATTCATTTGACGAAAAGTTAGATTGCTCAAATCGTTATGAAATAACACTGGAAGCATCATCCTTCGCTCCATTGCTTTCTCCTTCACAGTCATTGTTCTCTCTTCTACCTTCTTCACCTTCGCGTAGGCGCATCTCGGTTGAAGACACTCCAGGGGAACTGATTTACGAAAGCGAGCATTTTAAAACAGTTGTGCAGTTGGCTTTTCAGATTCAGCGCCAAAAATTTGCAAAAAATTTTAATAAAATTAAACGAAACATTCCATTATAATCTTGTGAAAAAAATACTTTTTTGACTGTTTCAACGGAATTTTCAAACGATTAAAACAATGAAGTAACAATTGCTCCAATTCTAGCACAACAGCATTTGATGACATGTATTATCAACAAAGGTACCTAGCGGGTAACAGAGGTTGTGGTTGAGCTAATGCAGAAACGTAACGATGAAACTCCTCATCCGTTACATCGTGCAGCCAAAGCGGATAACCACATCAAATCCTATCGCTTGCGATATCAGGGTTCGCTAGTCGAGAGGAATTAGCAATTTTATTGTTTCGACATATTTCCTTTTAA